ATACTACTAGGAGCAAGGACGCTGCTAGGGGCTCCTTGCCTTACTACTAGGAGCAAGGACGCTGCTAGGGGCTCCTGGCCTTACTACTAGGAGCAGGGACGCTACTAGGGGCCCTCACTACTAGGAGCAAGGATGCAACTAGGGGCTCCTCGCCTTACTACTAGGAGCAAGGACGCTACTAGGGGCTCCTGGCCTTATTACCAGGTGCAGGGCTCCTGGCTTGCTACTAGGAGCTACTAGGGGCTCCTGGCCATACTACTAGGAGCAAGGACGCTACTAGGGGCTCCTGGCCTTACTACTAGGAGCAAGGACGCTACTAGGGGCTCCTGGCCTTGCTACTGGGAGCAAGGAACTTACTGCCTTGCTACTAGGAGCAAGGACGCTACTAGGGGCTCCTGGCCTCACTACTAGGAGCAAGGACGCTACTAGGGGCTCCTGCCTTACTACTAGGAGCAAGGACGCTACTGGGGGCTCCTGGCCTTACTACTAGGAGCAAGGATGCTACTAGGGGCTCTTGGTCTTACTACTAGGAGCAAGGACGCTACTAGGAGCTCCTGGTCTTACTACTAGGAACAAGGACGCTACCAGGAGCAAGGACGCAACCGAGGGCTCCTGGCCTTACTACTAGGAGCAAGGACGCTACGAGGGCTCCTGGCCTCACTTCTAGGAACAAGGACGCTACTAGGGGCTCCGGCCTTACTACTAGGAGCAAGGACGCTACTAGGAACAAAGGGCATCGAGTCTGTTTGTGGCCAGGGGGGACGACTGGGGCAACTGGCGAAGATTGGACACCGTGTGATTGTCGGGAGCTTGAGCTATCGCCATTGGCAGAGAAAACCAACCTCCAAAATATAAGTACAGGTGCAGGGAGCTTGGGTCTCAAGGTTCATGATGCTCATTCTTTTTGTGCAAAGTCCAACACTTCACCAAGTGTTCCGTGTTGAAACAGAGATCCTTGCTCCACAAATCCTGGATGAAGGATGCCCTCTTGCGAAAAGTGGCTTCGAAAACTTGGGGTGCTCAGGCTGGGTTAAAACACCTTTAAACCTTTGGGACCACAACGTCTTGAGCACAGAGGCATCTGTTTTTAATGATTTGCAGACTGAAAGCTGAAGTAAGAACGTCCATATTGTGATCTGCAAGTAGTTGTCCTCTTTGGGGATGCAGCGGCAACGGTTCCTGCTCGTTTGTGGCAGGTCTTGAGAACATACTCTACCAGTGTGCTTTGGGGACGAGGAGTGGCAGAAAACTCGGCCGTGGCTCCACTTTTCAACTATTTGCCACAGGCCGGGAATTTGGAAGGCTTAGGTTGGATGCCATCGCTAGTAGGGTGTCCTGCCTTCCAGAGCACAATAGAAAAACGAGCATTTCCCCTCCAAATTGATTCCGTCAGCCAAAAAATGGGTTGTCACGGACCGTACCGGCCACCCTTCGTTAAGTCAGGGCTGCACAAATTAGCTCATTTGGCAGCTGTTCTCTGCTCTTGTTGCCAGCGCAGGTGGACCACTACATGGCCAAAGATGTTTCCTACGCCGACATGTCTCCACGCTCGGACCGATTTTCTTCAAGTCAAATGCTGGGACCAGCCCCGACAGTCGCTGGGGTCTGTCAATTGTTTCGCAAAAGCACGGTGGTTTCGCATTTCACAGGGGTTTCCATCTTGATTTTCTTCAGAGTATACTGTATACTTAAGTTTCCCGAAAAATCTAGCAACCAAATCATTAGTGCGTAAGCTATCCTGCTTCCAGTTACTAGAAGCTTACGTAGCTAGTAGCTTTCTCCCTTACTTCATTAAGTAGGCACCTACTCAATTAAGTAGGAGCTGGCTAAGAATAAACAACACATCAAAGAGTATGGTAAGCCAAAGAGCGTAATCGTGAGACTCACGTGACGGATCTTTGAATTTGTCGATCTTTCTGGCCTTTTGCCTTCGGGTTTTCGGCTGCCTCCCCGGGTGTATTTCCAGGATGCGGTGGACATTTTGGATGTCCCCTTCTGCGTGTACTGAGGCACGCCGCACCCGTTTTGGCTGATAATAGCAAGGGCCTCCAACCCAAGAGCGATGGCCTCCAACCGGAATGGCCTCCAAAACAGCTTTGAATTTGATTGAAGTTTGAAGTGAGGTGTAACAAAGTAGCAGTAGCTGAGTCTCTGCGCGTCATATTTGGACAGCTGTTTGTTTCGACTTTCAACCCACAGCTACTGAGTGACACTTCGTGGTTCTGGAAACACTTCGAAGCGCTTGTGCCCTGAAGAGCCAGCCGAGAGGCTTGATATAAAGCTAATATGTGACAGGTTGCTGCAGGAATAAGGATTTGTTCACAACTCTCCGTTGGAAGGCCATGTTCCTTTCTAATTGGAGGCCATCGCTATTAGGTTGGAGGCCATCGCTACTAGGGTGGAGGCCAGCGCTACTAGTACTTTTGTTTTGAATAGTGCGATTTGGAGACACGTGGTGTCAACCTGTGAGGCATAAATTGCTTCACAGCGCATCGACTGAGACGGTTTTTGTTCAAGACAAAGGCAGCATAGCGGGCTCCTGTGGTTTTGGGCTCCAAACACCATCTGGAGCAGCAGCTGCACCTCTTCACACCATGTGAAGACGGCGTGTTTCAATCTGGTGCAGATTTTCAGGGACAGTTGCATAAATTGTCGCTGGGAGTGACCCGATTTAGTTTGTTGCCAAGCTCTCCGAACGAAGCTCTTGGGGTAGAGGCTGCAGCCGGCATGAACGCTTCCCCATTGGGTCCAACCTCCAAACTTCTTCCGTTCAGCATGTGCGTCCGCTGGTGGAACGCGTCAGCTGCGAGCAGCCTTGGGAACCCGCACATCGAAGGCTTCGAAAGGAGCAGCGTCCTATACTCGATGTGAGCACCTTGCTTTCCAGCTATGTATACTTGAATGATGGAGTTGCATCTGGGCGCTGTCTCATAGAATATATTATATACTTGATGGGGCTAGAATACAATGCCCCTTTCCCAGCAGCTCCTGTCTTGATTGGAGTCGCATGCTTGCCATGCCGCATGTTCACCGAATGCACACTTTCCACTGCCCAATGCACACTTTCCACTGCCGAATGCTACGTCGCGGAGAGGACTACCAGGAAGGTCAAAATGTTCATCTTGAGCCATGCCCGTGTCATGCGGGAGTGCAGATGTGAGTGTTCAACATCCTGGCAGAAACTCAGGACACTTTTTAACGGTTTCATGGAGAGATCTCGCTTGCTCACAACGAGTGCAAAGTGGCAGGGGGCACCTATGAGGCCACAGCCGGGCAACAAGAAATTAATAGCATGTGAATCCTTCTGAATTTCGATGCGCGCACCAATGACGAGTTGAAGCATTGTGTGCCGATGGTTGCAGTCAACGGTCTTGAATTCTGTACAACGAACTCATTCTCTAAATTCCGGCAATGTGAGAATGCAAGCGATTGAGCTGATCCTGCAACCATATTTTGAAGCTTATTGAAGCAGCCAATGATTCACAGATTCTAGTTTTGGCCAAGCAACGCGAGGTAAATCAGTGGCTGCAAGTTTGTACAGGCACAGAGCGTCCAGGGCTCTGGCGTTTCCCGGTGGACAGATTTTGCTCGATTTGCGTCTTAGTCTTCTGCCCCGCCTAGCGTCAAACATGTCCTGCTAGGCGTGTTCAATTCTTGTGTCTCGCAAGGTGGCAGATGGTCGGCTTGCGGAGCCACCCCATGAGTGGCTTCTCGGTGACTGATTCCTTCGCACATCTCAGAATTGCCCCTTTTTTGGGGGTGAGGGTGTTTACGAATTGTCCAGGTAAACCTTAGAACCTGCTAGGCTAGCAGAGAAGCAGCATAGTCAGTGATATGCGGCAAGGCTTTGCCAACGATCAGTGGCTGGAGCCGATGCTTCAGGTGGAACTGTTTACAATAACTCTCCGGGCTTTGGTTTGCTTCGATACTGGAATGAAGCTATACCTAGGTTTTCTTTCGTAGACAAAGCCCCACAATGCCTGCCATGCGCCTTCGTATCATTTACCTCCAGTGGACAGTCTTGGGCCTTCCATGTGCTTTACCAGGGTAGCCTCAACCAACTGTGCTTTGACAGCAGGTTGGCTTTGGTGGCTGGGGATGCAAATAGAACGAGTAAGACCAGCTCGTTCCGGGATATTTTGTTTGTGTTGCAGGGATTATACATAGCACTCTAGATGTGCAAAGGAATCAGGGCACTAGGTCACGTGTGACGTATGTTCCCTTTCCGTTGCTGGGAAGCCTAGGGCATGACACCTTATGGGTTCCTGGTGTTGACCTGGACAAGCAGGTTGTGCCCCATCATTCATATGAAAGACGCAAGTTTCTTACAGCGTACATGTTGGGTTTCCAATGGAAGGGTTTTGGTTGAGCCACAGCAATTATGGGTGATGTGGGCTTAGATCACTCTGCAACGGTTTGAGCCTCGTTCCACAGCGAACACTTGAAGCTGTAGGGTCATGCACACATACTGCACCACGGATTTTTCACAAAGAAAAGGTGCTGAATTTCTTATGTCAGGTCACAGAAAGTGCTTGCAAGATATTGCAAGTTGCGAAGTGAACTTGGCAGTTGCCATGCTGACACGGCAGTTCACTCTTTCCTGATGTGCAGCAAGAAAGTCAGATCTGCTTTCTTCGCTCATCTTGGTGCAGCAAATTCTTCCTCCGTCTCAAGCTTGAGGGCCCTAGCTGTGCACACCAATTCCACGAGCGCTGAGAATTGTTTTGACACCCCGATAGCACTGACATTGACCACACAGGGTGGGCTCTTCAAGTGTCACAGCTTCTGAGTGTTTTGACACCTACATGGCAGAGCAGAGTGTACACATCCAGCCGCAGGTGGATTGCGATCCACTCCACAACAGTATCACACAGCATTTTTGCACAGCTTTTAGGAGCTTAAAAAGTGAACACTTCTCCCGGAGTTGTGAAAAAATCATGGACTTTACGCCTTGGCGGATTTCGATGGATGGCAAGGCCACAAACCTAAGACGCCCTTGTCGGCACTACGCCTTTGGGAACACCCGAGCATCGTCCCAAACGATGTTTATTTTTCCTTTGAAGGTCCCGATGCCATCTCCTGGCTTTGCCCTGTCTTTCCCCCCCGAAAGCTTTTCCTACACAGTCTAGCGTTGAGATCAATGGCTCTGACGGTGCTCTGCAGCACTCATCCTGCATGTCCCAAGATCTTGGTGGCTGGCTTCAGGTAGCTTTGTCCTAGCTTTGTTTGAGCACTATCAGTCATTTTTGGTCTCGCTCTATCCATTCACTGTTCCTTGGTTTGACTCTGTTCTGGCCTTGTTTATGCTCTGCCCAAAGCCTGTCCTTGGCATTAAGGTGCTTGAAACGCACTACAGCAAACTATAAAGTTTTTCTGTTTAATTAGACACGTTTGCCACTTCATGCTGTAGATGCTGTTCATTTCTCAACAGTAGAGGTGGATAGTAGCTGTCATCTCTTCACAAATAGTTGACGGGAGTGTTTCTTAACCGAAAAGGATTGTATACTGTAGTTTGTGCATTGAGTCAGAAGGAGAGGCGATTGTCTAATGGGACGAAAATATGACATATGGTTTAATTCAATGACCGATGGCGAACCAAGTTCCAGGATGGTTTGGAGTTCAGGAGGATTGTCACTGCAACAGCCGTTCAGCCATTCAGACTGAAAGGTGTACATCCTGCCAGGCGCACTGGGCCACGATTTGTGCACCCAGAAGATGTTAGCGACCAGGAGACAGGCGCAATTTGTCTCAACAAACCAAACCCCTTTGGCATCCCTGACATTTGCTGTTTTGCTTCTTTTCCCTGAGGAACCGCCAGTGCTGCTGCCTCCAGTAGCAGGAGAGTAGAGACCCAACTGGTTAGGACTCGGAACATTTGCATTGATGTGGGTGTATGATGTTTTATGTTTCAAGCATTCTTTAAACCGGGGGCCTAGTTCCTTTGGGTTGGATTTGCCACTGTTACGACTGAAATCGAGAGACAAAACTTGACATAGCAGGATCCCACCGCCACCTTTGCAACCTCCACCCAAGCGAATTGGGGGTGCAGCGTTCCTAGATGTGTGGAGGTGAGCAGACAAGAACATATATTTTGTCATTTGCTCGGAGCTTGTGTAGAGCAAGCAATGTGTTGTTGATACAGTTGCCCAAATGGCCATGCCATTTTGGCTCAAGCGAGACTGTGATTCGAAACGTCTTGGACCTCCCGCTTTTTCTTGCGAACTCTTCGCCTGCCATGGCTTCTCCCCGCTACGGCTGAGCCAACCGCGGAGCTCCCTTGGATGGCCATGGACGCCTTGACGCCTTGCATGCCAAGCTCACGGAGATGGCCCTGTGGTCACCGAGCTTCCCAGCTCACTGGTCCTGCGGAGCCGGTTTATGTTTGTTTTCACGACCAAGCGATGCAGGCCCAGGTGCCCACGACTGCCCGAGGTACTTGCCACCCCATGGCAATCACTGAAGGCGGATGTGGGTCAAAATCCAACCCAGTGAGTGGAAGTACCAGGTGGCTCAAATTGACGGCGGATGGTGGGTGAACAAGGTCGGCACCTATAACATGCCCAGTGCTCTGCTACTATACCTTTCCGGCCACTGACAGGGGCTTTGTCTTTGTCGACGACTTCTGTTGGGCCCTTAGATCCGACCCAAGCACCCCTGTTGACGACCTCAGCGCTCCTTTTTTTTGGCGGTGGGGTGCCCACTGAGCTGGAAGAAGACAGCCCTTGTCAACCC